TAGTGAACGATAAAATCTGTTACCTGTAACTGAGATAGATCGGGGTGGTTTAGCTAACGCCTCGGTTGGGATTATGTTACAGGATCTTAGCCCTCGACTGAGATACCCCGATTTCGCTCAGGTATTATTTTTTCTCGCTCATATTTCTCGCAAAAGTATTCAATATTGAATTAGAGTTTGGCATATCTCTTGCGAGCTGAAAACTACCCAAAGAGCCTCTTCACTTTTAAACATCGATTGGATAGCGCTGTGTAAACAACGTATATAACAGTAATATACTACCTTTCAAAAGTTCGGGGTTGCATTTTCTATTTCATTTTAGATATTAAGAATTTAAAAGAACATTGTTGAAATTAAACAATGACATAACCTACGTTTTTGTTGAAATGCACCGGTGTAGATGCCATCTACGCCTATATGTGGATGAATACACCGATGCGTAAAAAATCCGCGACAACGTACGTAAGGCTTCTAGACAGGTCGGGTGAGTTAGAAATATATCTAGGATGGGGTATTACGTGGGATATCCTTGTCTGAGGTAAGATATAAAGCGTATTATCGGATGATCAGTTTTAAGCCTGGTAGCGCTAGTAGAGGCGCAGTTTTTGTACTAAATAGTTTAATTACAAGATCTTTACAAAATAACAAAGACTTCACTGTGTAATTGTTGACTATAGAAAAGGCTTTGTTAGTATCTCCCATTATGGTTTAAATTTTGGAATCTGGTGTCAGGGGACGTCTATTGATAGTTGTTTTTAATCTAAAAGAAGTGCTAAGTTGTGCGTTAGATTGCATAGTAAATTGTCTTCAATGTTCGACGTGCAGGTTGTTTCATTACAAGGAGAACCTTTGTTACCGATTAAGTTTTCTTTATTTGTTAATGACATTAGATAAAAATCATCTAAATCTAAGTCATCACACACAACTTCTTAATCTGTTTCAACTAAGTATGTAAACGATACCGTGTTATTTTGGAAAGACATCACTTAGCTTTAAAAACTTTAAAAAGAGGTATTCGGATTGCTTGAATGTAGACAGGACATAATTAATGGATTTTGGAAAATGTTACCGAAGGAACCGTAGAAACTTGATGGAAAAGATATGAAAGTGGTAAATCAGTGTTGTTATTTGGGCTTGGTGTTTAATCATAACGCTAAATTTACACTAGCACATTATAATATTGCTACACAAGGCAGAAAGGCTAATTACCTTCTCAGTCGTAAGGTAGAAAATTTTAGCTTGAATGAAAAGACTTACATACATTTATATTCATTTTTATTACGGCTGTGAGGTGTGGGGCCGGAGATGAGAAAAAACATGTGATATTTTTCTATTGGATGTGGAAAAATGTTTATGATTCTATAGTTTATTTTCAACTTGGCTGTTTTTCTTATCAATATACATAAAGAAAAAATCCGTTTATTAAAAGATATTTTTAAAGTTTGACATTGTCTGTGAAAGTCAAAATGGTTCATCTAGGTTGTATGTTGTATCATTTATCGTACAACACATCCTAATGAATAAACAATCCATGTAAACATCAAATGGAAATTACTCAATAGGAAACTTACACAAATATACAAATCCTTAAAATAGTATTACCACGTGTTCACAACTATTACATTCGTGTGTATCCTTTTCTAAAATACCATATCTCATTATTATCTACAGCGGTAAGACCCGAGCTCTACCTTCTTGGCTCCATTTATATTATTGTAAATTTGCTGTATCCTGACAGGTGTATTCGTGTCGCAGTTAATTCGATATTCAAGTTTTAAGGTTTCTGAGGTTCAAAAAGCGATGTTTTTTATTGTTTAAGGACCGTAGTATTTATAAATGTTGACAGTTCATTGAACATGATGTTTATGTCTCCTTGCAATCACCTGTACTAAAGTGCCTAATCACATTGCTCTGGTAAGGCTTTGGTGAATATATCCTGTTTGCTGCACACAAGATGTTTTTGCAGACGGAGGTGTTTCTGCTCTCCCAGAGTTACACTCCATCGTACGGTAAAACAATAAGATTATACTTCAACTGCCCTGGCTGGGACGCGGCGGACCTCCCTCTGTTTTCAGTGAAATAGTCACCAACTACTACAAGGAAACCCAATAAAATCAAACGAACTGCCTAATGTGCATAACCTATCCCGTCCAAATAAAAAACACAATATCCGAGTCTGAACTATTACCAAAAGATAACTTAGTGAGTCTGAACTCTTACAAAAAGATAACTAAGTGAGTTTCGACATTTACCAAAAATAGCTTAGCGAGTCTGAACTCTATATATATTATATCAATATATCAATAAGTACTTTCTAATTAAATGTTTTAGCGAATTTCGTTTCGTTATATTTCACGCAATTTACTTCCAAGGGCCTTTCAGCTGACGAGAAGTCGTCGCGGTTGGATGGTACATTTTGTATTTACTTACATCACGTGACCAAAATCTGGGTGTAGAAGGTACCTGAAAAATCCAAGCATCATTTGTTATATTTGTTAAATGAAGTGATGGCAAGGATAACACATATACACTGTTATTGGGTAAAAACAGTGGTATCAAGGACATCTACACATGCTGACAGTATTCCGGTATTTTACGAGGAAACGACAGTAATGGTATGTTGAATCCATTTGAAAATACGAAAGCACAGCTGTATGTACGTGATCGCAAATCTAAATTATAGTACATTTTTCAAACCTTCGAAGAGATGCAGATTTTAAAAGAGTTTTACAAGCTTATTATGTATGAAATTATTAGCTATGTGAAGCAAGATTAAAAAGGATATCATTTCACAAGTATAAAGTATTCAGTAAAAGATAAGATCTTCACGGTCACCTTCATCAAAGACATCAACGTCACAATCTAATCTTCTACTGGTTTTGTTATAAGAACATCTGTTCTATTGACATCGAAGAAAATGTTCCAATGTAAAGATACCTAAAATTTCCTCAGACAAGATCGTGTGTTACTTTCGACAACAATTCAATTTGAAAAAAATACTTTTCATTTTTCGACTTCCCGAGAAAAGTCAGTATACACTGTTACGTTTCGGAAGTGGAGTTACGAGGGCGTGAGAAATTGAAGCATTTTACGCTCTAGCAGTCAGTTTGAATGAAATTTAGTAGGCAAGTGATCTCTGATGCGTCACAGGACCAGGCAATACACGGTAATAAAAACTGAGAGTAGTCGTACAAGAGGATAATTGATACTATCATCTAGCATACGTTTACAAGTCTCACAAAATGCTCTCGGAACGAATCGAGTATTAGTATGTATGTAATGTAGTCTTTGCTTTAAAGAAACCGACTTATGTGTTTGTTGTACATAGATCTGTAGTCATAGATTTCGATAAAAATGTGGTGTAATTCATTATTTTAATACAAGATAATATATAAAGACTAGTAACATATCCATGTAATGTTGAATCATCGTTCTGTACTGTTGTGTTATAAAATACTATATAAGATTTTCATGATATGAAATGAAACATAAACGTATTGTATTGATAATTCACCAGCGTAAACGAGGAATATTATAATTTTATTTATCAACGAAAAAGACATAAAGATAGTGCTTACCCCTAGACTTCAATATACTTGAATCAGTTATTGATGGTGTTAATTCACACTACATGATTCCAGTTAATCAAAGAATCATTCATTACAAAGGAAGGGAAAATGAAAGTCGGAAGGAGTTACATGAAAACATAACACTGTTGTTATACAGTCGGCCTCCGAGTTGTGTTGTTGAATCCTTCATGTTTCCATACCTTAATACCCGGTACGAGATCTCAAATGTAGCTAACAAGATGACTGCCCTACGAATAAGACATATCCAGAGTAGATTAGTTTCTACCTGCTGCAAAGCCCTACTTCCAGTCTGTGGGAAACGCGTAATTAATCAATAAAACTCGCTAATTTCACCATTTCAGCTATAACTTTACATCTCGGACATTGTTTCAGTTTATTATGTACAGTTATAATAGAATAATTCGTACTCGTACTGAAAGCATGTCACAGAGTCGAAGCCTGTTGTTGACTAGACGAACCTCCGAGGCGAAGTACCGTACGGTCTGAACACTACCAAAAGGTACGATTCAGTGTTTAAACCTGCTTATTATTAATTTTTGGAGTTTGAAAAAAAAGAAACTTGCATCTGATATATAATTAAATCATTTCCAATGGTTTCCACCCATACAATATTGCCGATTCCGCAGACCGGAACACGTCGGGCTCGAAAAATCTGTAAAAAGTAATTACCATGCTGTACATAACATAAGTAACATAACGTGATAATTATCTTGACAACTCAATAAAACTTTGGCCAAAGTCGGGCTAGTTTTTAAATATAACACGCATTATATGATAATATCGGCACGTCATGTCACGATAACGTTATATAATACATCACATACTGCATATACCTCACACGTATATAGCTAGTACATAGATTCATACGAAAAGTTCATTGTTTAAAACCCTACCTAAGCATCAGTGATGAACGGATATCTTTACTTTTAAAGAGCATTCTTCAAATTCAAATTGCAAGAGTAAACATAGTACTATAAAATAATTGCATTTGTATGTTTCAACTTATTTCTAGTTTGTAATTCAGGAGGAAATATATATTCATCCTTGTGTTGTTTCTTAAATTAATTTTTATGTCAGTATTCCAACAGTTTGTCAGTCCGAAAACATTGTAAATTCGTGGATTAAGGGTACTCTCAAAACCAAACAAGAATGAAAACTACACAAACATACAAATGTATTATTCCTTTTTTTCAAAATTTTATTTATTTTTTTTTTTATAGAAAATGGCAAAAGTGTACATTTGCTGTGCATTTCTTGGAATTATGGTGCTATTAATGGGGTACATATACACGAGAAGAAATAATAATTTAACCACCATCAAAGATCAAGACAAGGAAGAAGATGAAAGATACATTATAGAGCCTCTTCCGCTAAATGGATTTATCGTTTACAATTGTGATGACGAACATCCGGGATCTTGTGGAGGATGGTCAGACCGCATGTCGGGCATGTTCAGTGCTTACGTCATTTCCCTGATATTGCGTAAACATTTCCTAATTAAGTACACACGATCGAGTAACTTGACAGATTATCTCAGTCCCATTTATTTTGACTGGAGATATAACTCATCGATTCTGATGAAGAGATCTTACGGTTATCAGGATTTCTTTGTGAAAACTCCAGCTGCTCTTAAGAATAGAAGTTTAACAGGTCTGCAACGAATGTTCTCAAAAGATGTCAATTTCGTACGTATGAACTGGGATTATACCGAACACTTTAGAAAGTTTCTAGGCTTGCAGAACGTCATACCATGGTTGTTAGAATTACATTATGCCGATATTTATTCAAAGTTTTTCAACACCCTCTTCAAACCTACAAACATGATCACTGAAGCAGTAAACAAGGTTGTACAAAATGTACCAAAACTTGCCTGTGCTCATATTCGTATGGGTGGAAGTGACACGATACCAGGAGATGAAAGGCATACGGAAGAAAAACAACTTAAACATGTCTGGAACTTTCTGAAGACCATGGAAGCCAGACACTATAGCATTTTTATTGCAACCGATGCACAAATTGTAAAGGAGAAGGCAAGTGCATTATTCAAACACCTCCTTGAGGCTGAAGGACGAATCCTACACATAGACTGGGGAGCTACTGGGGGTGACTTAGTAAATGGTTATAAGAAAGTTGTTGTAGATTTCTTTGTTCTCACGAAATGTGATGTGTTAGTTTTAACGAAGAGTGGGTTTGGAATAATGGCCGCGTACCTGAATTCCGATGTTTCAAACTTGTACTGTCTAACACCAAATGAGTTGGTGCCGTGTTCTCGGTATACGATACATAACTACTTCCCCGGTGAGTTACTTTCTCCTTATTAGTCTCATTGAAGCTAATGCAAACACATTTTGGAAATATATGTGATAGATCAGCCGTAGAATGTTGCTGTTGGTGCTTCTCGACATTTTATCGTATCTCAGGTAGTGAAAAAGTTGAAGCCTCATCTCTACCTCGCAGTTTTCTGTTTAGGAAATTTGTTAGATCGGGAAACTTCATCCTGTGGAGTAATAGCCTCGCTTCCAATATGTTAGTTAAGTAACTGTAGAGTGAACTGCCACATTGATTCAGTATATATGTGTCAAACGAACTATCGTCTGATGAATGGATAACCTTTTTATGAGATCTTGTTCTGTCAAATGAACTGCCGTTTGTTAAATGGATGACCTTCGTGTAAAATTTGTACTTTCAAATGAACTGCCGTTTGTTAAATGGACCACTTTCGGTTAAAATCTTGTACTGTGAAATGAGCTACCGTCTGTTGAATGGTGGACCTTCCCCAGAAATCTTGTTGAGTAAAATGAACAGCTCTCTGTAAAATGGACGAACTTTGTGTGAAATCTTGCACTGTTAAGTGAACTGCTGTCTGTTAAAAACACTGTTGCACTGACGAGTAAGCCGCCGTTTGTTGAATTAATGCTTGTAAATTGAGCTTTCGGTCAGAGGATGGTTAATTTTCATGTGACCTTTTGTGAAGTGTTTTAGTAAGTGAATGGATAACTCACAACGAACATGTTAATTGAATTTTTATAAGATGAATGGATAATTGTTCTTCAAACTCCACATACTATTAATTTCTTTTTTGACAGTTAAGACCGTTAGCCAGATTTTTTCTAGTACTAAGAATGATAAAGGCTTTGTTAGACAGCTGTATGATCCAGCAATAAAACGTTGTTTGTATGGATTCTTGTTTATGGACCCTAAATAAACAGTGGAGGTCCGTATCCATATGATTAATTGGCGTTCTAAATGATTGTTATACCGAAGTAGGATTAGCTAGTATCTCGACTTGTGAACGATTGCATAATGCATATATGAGGTTTCCTTCGTAATCAAGCAGTTCAGTAAATGTAAATGTAATAATGTTTGCATACAAGGATCAATTCATTGGACTTATAAAGCTTGAAGTTTGGATTTGACATCAGGATCCAGAAAAGCTGACGTGTGTTTTGTTTTCATTTCCGATTTCAAGCTGCAAATGTTTTACGAATGTTGGAGCGAATAGACCTACTCAGAAAATTAATCCAATGCAGCATGATATTGAAATCAATGAACGGGATTCCACGATATTCAGGACCCCTCATGAAAAGCTCTTGTAGCTTAACATTTCGAATAATGCTTAAATGACCAGTTGGATCATAGTTATAAGTAGAGGTAGAACAAGAACATGCTGACGGTGGACTAATTCTCAGGTCATCTGCATTCAGTTGCTGCAGCTTTTATTTGTAATTAAAAAGTTTGGATGCAATGCGCTTGGAGTAACTGTAGGAAATTAGAGGAGCGGTTTTGTTTTGAAAATGGTCGAATGTTAGCTTGACAGACTGCTTACTAGTTTCATTGTTATGAATACAGACATGGAAGGCATATCCTATCTATACAGGGGTGGGGGGGGGCTAACACAATGAGACTGTAATAATAGCCATATCAACAATCACGTGTTGTATAACCTCTGTCTATGTCGTGAGCTAACACAATGAGACAGTTACAATATAATCTTTGTACAATGACCCCATTCTATGTACAACGATATCATGTTTATTATCATACGGAAACGACGGCAGCAATTGACAGGACATGTCACGACAGGAAACATTCTAGAGCTGTAAAAAAAGTTTGATTGAATTGATGAACAATATCCATTTGAACGGCTTGTATACAAGCAATCTAACAGCACTGTCTACATCTCGCTCACACTAGATACAACAGCAATTTGACTGCTAGTTGAAGGATCACTAAAATCTAAAACTAAGATCATGATAGTAAACTATTTTGGAAGCCTTTATCAACCCTCATTTCTCAAAAGTCTGTAAGTTTTCTGCAAACTATTGACACAATTTGAAAATGGAACAGATTTGAATAATAGAAATGAAAGAAAAAGTACTGTCTAATGACCCATTTCACAACTGTTGAATGTTTACAATGATTTAGCATAAAGGAACGTACGTACGATATATGAGACTGTCACAGAAATCTTCTTATCTTTTCAATGTATTTACGTACCTTTTCTGCTGATCTCTTCCCAAATACGCTAGTGAGAGAAGAAGGCGTCAGTGTAAGGGGCATCGACAACGTGACTGCTGTTGTTGGGATGTCAAAGAACCTCAGTGCAAGAGACATATAAGCCATGGTGTAGAATCCGACAGATGTCGACTCTCCCCTTCAAACGACTTCAATAGATATAAAATGGCAAATATTCATGGTATATAACCAGAGCATTTTTCGATTATTTGCTTTAAAAGTTTGTTCAAATGAATGACCTTGACACCTTTTAAAGGTCATATGGGTAAAAAGTGTTCAAGTTTTCAATATTCTTTTTAAAAACCAGACGTCGATGGGTCATAATATTTAGCTAGTGTCATGCTGAGATGAATGACTTTTTCAAATAAATGCTCAGAGTAATGCAATGAAGCAACTGTTTGTTGATACATGTCCTTGACCAATTTTCAAAGGCAAATTGCTCACGTTTCTTTAGAATAACCAAAAATGACCATGGTCATGGTGTTAAGTCAGCAGCATGTTTTGGTAAAAGGCTATCTAGTGTAGAAGAAACAGGTAATTTATGCCATCATGCTTCAGTGTAAATCACATTCTGCATTTTGATTTTTTTTCTGTACAACGCCATCTAGTGTCGTGATGTATTATCGGCACGCCAATTTCATCGGGAAACTTGAGGTATTTCTTAATGGCCATTGTCTGACCAAGAGACACTAATTTGTGGGTATTTGATTTCATGGATAAATGTAATTCAATGTGCTTAAACTAATTTCAACACTTGGAGGACATGTGAATTATATTGTTAAGGGAACCCACGAAATTGAGTGATTTTGTTGTATAGAGTAGCACCGATTATTCCATTACATTAATGTCTAATACATGTCTTCCAGATTTCACTGCAACTGATATAAAGAGATAATTATCAGCAGTTCAAACAGGAAGTGGCAGACAATTTACATACTCAACACTATTTAAAAATAAATGATTTAGTTTTCATAGTCGTAAAACGACATTTGATATAAGTATTGGGACTATCATTGTACAAAGTATCGCAGATCATATCATTCAAGAAAGGTCTATAACAAAGCTTCACAATCAAAATTATCATTTTTCATCTTATGCGAAGAGGAACTCGCATTAAAAAAATGTCAAAACGTCACACATAGTAGGTGACATGTACATTGTACATATATGTATGAAGTCATCATCTGCTTTAAGGGAAGGAGACAGAACTTAATACACATATCGGTATAAGGAAATATCAGCTGAAATAATAACAAAAAGTTGGAATATGATAATCTTTTATGATATATTGTGACACCATAGTGATCTGGACCCAATCTCAGATCTATTCAACATGGCATCTTGTAGGCTGTCACAATATATGTAGGGCTAAACCCGTTAAATAAATAAATAACGATTAAAGTCTTCATCAGGATTTTATGTTCATTCCATCTGCATTCAGGACTAAGTGATGTTCGTCTCCGTAGCTTCCAAGTACTCCAGTTCAAATGGTATATTTCTTGATAATCTGTTATCCCTTTAAATTCAAACTGATCGTGACATTACTTTGACCTGGACATGACCTTTTGTTGTCATCTAATTCAGTATAATCAGATAACTCTAACTTATGAAGAATGTTCCAATAGCAACAGAGTATCCTATGGTTATAAGTCATGTTTCTAGATATGTAGCTCAGTTGTACAGAAAACCAGAAGATTGTGATCAAGTTCAATATTTAATTAGGCAATGAATCTCATATGTGAAAAAAAATAAGCTACGTTAATAATTCTATCAGACTCGCACAATCTTTCACACTTAATAGTTAATTTCTACAACTTCATATTCAAGTAAGAAGGACAATATTATTACTATTAGCTTTCCTGGCATAAAATTAACACACTAATCAGAAGGCCTAAAGCTTACATTAACATAGACAAAATATTAACATACGCAAGTTAGGAAAATACACATCCATTCTAGGTCTGGTCCCTACACACTTCCAAAACATTTACATCCTTAGATAAAATAAGGAAACAACCAAGATTCATATATTCCAGACTTCTTATTCCTTCTCACAAAAATATACTTCTTATTCCTACTAACAAAAATACACTTTCAGTACAAACGGGTATTTACTAAGTCAAATTCAAATATTCGATCATCATACTTAACTCTCATCTTTCTCACTACTAAGCCTAGTACAAAATATATCAACATTCTCCTATCAAGCACTTGATAAGGTAACCACAGACCGGGAATTAGAAATTACTCAGTGATAAGAATACCACCCGTCCATCCCTATAAGAACAAATAGTCTGACTACGGTCCTAGTACGTTTACCATAACTATTATTGTTGAATGTTAAATAATTAGAAAAAATTCTCAAAAGATCCTAAATAATAATCCTAATAAATTCTTATCAGTAATACCATCGCCCGACATTTCACAGGACAAACGACAGACCGCATCGGGACTAGGAATTCACCAAGTTACCCGGCGGATAGTACAAACACAGCACACATACAACCCACACCTGTACTAGCTGACAGCTACTGTCAAACTGAATCCCAAGATCTCATAACTGCGATAACTATTGATACATAATAACTACATTACTTCTACTTCTATAATTTATACTTGCTAGACTTTCCCGTAAACACAGTGAAAATACTGCAGCCATATTAATTCTATAAATAACTTCTACAAGTGTGCACACAGTTAGTAGTCACTTCAAAACAAAGCATGGCACAGCAGAAACACTCTCGACAAATTACTGATAACATTTCACCACTTTCCTCAATCACGATGGATAACAACTATCCAGAAGCATTACTCCAGGAAATGTTGAGGTATTCAATATATATGTCATTTATCACAAGATTAATATTTAAACGCGTGATATAAAGTGATACTTAGTCACATCACCATTCTGTCACAATATCTCTTCAATGCCACTTCCTCATTCAGGAGGATGTTGTGTGTGGATCTCCAAATTAGTAAATATTTGTATACTAGTTTATACATTATATAATAATAATAATCTCTCACAAAATGTACAAAAGACACATATGAAAGCATAGGGTT